CCTCCAAAATATTGTGCTGCATTAAGAATGACTTGTCTATCTCTCTGAAGTGTCTTATCTGCATAGGCAAAACCTTGGTGTTTGCTAGCCATTACAACTTCCTTATTCTTTTTCATTTCTGGGAGAGAGAAGCTTCAGAACACCTCCATGCTTGGTGACGGTTGCCATTACCACATCTATATCGTTCTTTAAGGATGGATCAATGAATGGGAAGGACATGGGTGATATTTTGAGGTGGCCAATAATTAGCTCTTTATCTTTCTTTTCTTCATCAGAAAGTCTCTCAATTCTATCTGTCAAATAATTCGTAGTTTTGACCTCTTTTGAGTTGTTTTTTGTCAGTTGCATACGATCCTCTTCATCTAACTTATGAGAAAGAATTTCAAATAAATTGGAGTTCCTCTTGATGGCCCTTATTAAATATTCCTTATTATTACAATATTTTTCCAAATATTTTCCAAAATAATATGAAGAATCTACCACTCCACATTCGTATAGCTCATCATCAAATGTGGTAATGAAAACCCAATTATAGGAATATTTTTTAAGTAGTGCTAATAAAAATTCTCTGTTTTCGAATAATGACTTGTCAAAATAGTTGATTTCAATATAAAGAGAAGTTTCTCTTAGTATCCTAGACATGAGTGGTACGTCAGATTTCAAACTCGGATCAAAGTAATATAACAAGGATGGTTGCTTAAGAATCATTTCTTTCTGCAATTCCAAGTAATCAGAATAGGATTCTTTGAAATCTGCATCAATTTTCATTTTTTGTGCTAGTTTCAATAGAAAGTTCACATCACTAACTAATTCCTTAGATTTTGAATAGTATTCAAAGAAAGAGCGGAATAAATTTATATTCCCTGCCAATATTCGAATCCAATTATCAACACTTAAACTATTAGATAAATAATTTGGAAATTCATATCCTCTTTCATATCTGCTTAACATAAACTCCTCATAATCCGAATATTTCTTAATTATTTCAGAAATTTTAGGCGAAATATGTCCCCAAGATATCATTTTACTCACAAGATTATCCATAAACTCTTTCCTTATCAATAGAGTTGGGCTAGCAAGCAAAAGAGCATCTTTCTGTGTTTCCATTGCCAATTTGACAATTTCCTCATCCGATCTCAATTCATTTGATGCAAATTCCAATGCCAACCCATTTTGTTTCACAGAAACAATTACAACATTTCTATTCGAATTGAATTCAGGAAAGTGGACCAATAACAATCCATTACTTAATACTACTCTAAGTACCAATTGTTCCTCAACTATTCCTACTGGAATAAATTTACAAGATTCAATATTTTGTTTGAGAGCAATTCCAATCATATTTCTATCATTTTTGACAGATTCTCCACAATATTTCAATTGCATTCCATCTCTTTTCAATACAGATTCAACAACAGAACGATCATTTCTAATTCTGTCATTTGCCAATTCCAAAACTCTGGGACAAGTTTCCAATCCCTTCAAAATCAATTCCTCATCGTCTCTCAATTCTTCTCTTGGAATTGTACATGCAAATAGAATACTTCCATCACTTTCCAATCCTGCCTTTATAATTTCTCTATCACATTTAAACTTTTCATTTCGAATATGTTTCAAAGCATTTACACCAAACGATCTAACAGCCAACCATATTAATAACCTATCATTTTCATATTTTGATTCCAGTTTAGACAATTCCGAAGCACTTCTTCTCTTTACTCTAACTGCCATTCTCAGATATTGTACATTTTCATTGGTGAGATGTTGAGATCGGGAGTGAGATATTTTCTTCATCAATTTTAATAAACTTTTAAATAAATTGTGAATTATTTCATCGTCATCATTGATATCACCCTCTCTCGTTACAAGATAAACATCTGAAAAGTAATTGTCGTCAATAACTTGTCGCCACATTTTTTTCTGTTTGTTCAAATGAAGATTTTTGAATAGTGTTTAATGCAAGATTTAAAGTTTAATAATAACATGTAAATATTCAAAGGAATTTAAATCCCTAAATACAGATGACAACCTTAATATTCCGAAAATTAAGATAATGAATGGCTACGGCCATATCACGATTCATGCACCTCATCCCGTCCGATTTGAGAAGTTAAGCATCGTCTAGCCACATCAGTACTGAGGTTGGAGACAACTTGGGAATCTGTGGTGCTGTAGTCTTTTATTGGATCTCGGTCAACAAAGATTTATTTATTTTTGCTACATTCAATTTATTATTTAGCTCCATTAAAAAACTTTTAATTGGAAAACAATACATTGGACTACCTTTTGAATTAGAAAGAATTAATCAACTTTTTAGCTTCAGAATCAGCAGAAGGACTTTGTCTTTCGTTGGCAACCTTCATAACAAGAGTCAAATTACATTCCAAAGTGACAACCAAATCAGCTCCATTAACCTTGTAAGAATAGCCAAGGAAACCAGAAGATTCCTTACTTTCAGCATTGTGAACAACTCTGAAAATCAATTTTTCCAATCCCATGAAAGCATCCTTACAATCAGGATCCTTGATGAAAACCTTGGCAATTTCACTCATATTACTCAATCTTGGACATTCGGTTAAGAATTTGATGCAATTATTCAACAAGGTATCTTCAGCAAATCTATCACCATACTTGTACTTGGTTTCAGTTGGCAATGCAGCAAGAGAAGCCCAATCCAACAAGATGAGCATCTTTGGATTGACTTGTTGAAGATTCTTGG